TTGCAGCCGTAACAGGAAGTACGTCTAAATCAATGACGTCATAGAAGGTCAAGGCAGTACTTTCGGAGGCACTACTTTCTATATCGGAACGCTATTCGTAGTACTGACAGTACTCGGGGTGAATAAAGGAACGCACCCACTATAATAAAATACTGGCCACGATTCTAATCCGCCAATCAAAGACTCTGATCCACCATGTTTTGGCTAAATCCTAGGAGAAAGAAAGAAATGTACACCATCTCACTCTAACCAATAGCGATATTTTTACTTTACATGTGCATTGATTTAAATGTATTGTGCATGTGTATTAAACACGTGGAAAACGTGATAATATATTATTAAATAATAGAGATACTAAAATTGCAAAATATAATATAAATTAATTAATTGATAAATCAATATAAAAAATGGGTTCATTTTTTTACTTAAATTTTATTTTATATTGTAATAAAGTTTGTTTATAATAATAATAAATATGTATAATAATTCTTTCTAAAAAAAGGCATGACGTCGATACTTACATCTCTCGAAATTTTCTCGAAGTTTATCGTTGATGCTTTTCCGCGATGGATTCTCTCATTGCGCTAACTTTGAGAATAGCTGTCATTGTATTGATTTCACAGAGGATGTTGTCGTTTTGACAATTGTGTATCAAAGTTAAAAGTATTATAGTGTAACAGTAGTATAATAGTATTATATTAATTTTTGCTCTTGTGAAAAAGATAAATAACGAAAAAAAGATATATAAAAAAGATAAATAAATAAATAGTAATAAATTTAAAATCGTTAATATTAAAGGAAATATATTAATAAATACGATATATTAATAAATATATTAATAAATTGATAATATAATTATGTAAAATGAAGTTTTATAAATATACACATTTTATTACGCTTTAAAACGCTTATGTTTTTAAATTATAATATTACAATTTAAGATTAATGTAGTTAATATATTTGAAAATAAGTGGGAATAGCCAAAAGATGGCGGATCAAAAGTTGCTTTTTTTGTGACCAGACTCTTATTATAGTGTCTCTAATTAATCAAAATATCAGCAATAAAAATAATAGGTAACCTTTTTTTAGAGTTTTATTCTTTTTCTTTTTAGTAAAATTTAAATATTTAAAATTTAAATATTTTTATTGTTATTTATTCCTTGTTTAAAAATCTGTGCTAAATGCAAGAGTGATATAGACACGACTGTCCGTCTTTATCACTTTTGCGGAAGAGAACCACAAAATCGTGCACATTACCTACGTGAATAAGATCATAGCTAAAACGCGGCTGTAACCACTCTCAAGCTTCTTTCTAATTGAAAAAAGGAAAAATGAAAAATACAAGCACAAAAAGTATACGTGTTATAACATCACTAATCTTATCAAAACCCACTACAATCGAAAATACTTGCATTTAATAAATTTTTAGTCGTAATGGTAAATCAATAAGAAAATTAACCAATTACAATTAATTATTCTCCATGCTGTCGAAAAATGATCAATTGCGATTAATCAGTGTTCTTATGAACTTACATTATGACTAAAAATTTGTTATATGCAAAAATTTCTAGAAAGAAAATTTTATATATCTATATGTCTATGTATGTATCTATGTGTCTATATGTATATGTATGTATATATGTATCTATTTGTCTGTCTCTCTCTCTCTCTCTCTCTCTCTCTCTCTCTCTCTCTCTCTCTCTTTTTCTTCTGTGAATTATGTATAATATATGGGACGGTACCTGTAATGCTTTGCTTTTTTCGAAACAGATACTTAATGCAATAAAAATCACATCGATGTCTTGTGCCGGATACGCGCAATTTTAAAAAGGGCTCTATTTTGTGAAAGAAAGGGGTCACTTTGAGCACATGCTAAAGTGAAAATATGATAGATTGTGGCTAAGTTGCGCACGGTCATACGATGTGTTTTTTTATTTACGTGTGCTCTTACGCAATTTGACTGCAATATATCTGTTTGAGCCTTACATACTGAAAAATAGGTCAGAAAAAAATGTGGTATAATATAACTCCAGGCGAAGGTCCACTTTAAAAAAACCTAACGCGTCAAAAGTAGAAACGCGTCTAAAGGGTGGTGTGGAAGTCCACTGTTATTATTTTTATTTTTATATATTTATATTTATATAAAAATATTGTGCAAAATATTTTTCTTATAGAAAAATATAATTATACAATTTTTCTATAGAAGTATATTTGTAAAATATATTCAATCCAAGCAATTACCATCATGGATCGAAAATGGATTACTCGGTAACTCATTCCATGGTAAAAAGTTGGAACATCCATTAAGATTCATCCTGTATGTAATTATATGTATATTAAAATTATTAATTAATTATAAAAATAATTATTAATTATAAAAATACATAATTCTATAAATAATAATCTATGTCTTACAATATCTTCTGCATTATATTATATTTGGTCTAAAGTAAATATTATTATATTTATTCTAATAAATATTATAATATCTAACAATCAGTTTTCAATTATTTAATTAGGGATCAACTACATACAAGTATATTTTTTTTTAATTTTTAAATTATTTGTTAATTAAAATATCACTTGTGATTATGAGCAATTTATATTCGCGTCAGCAGACAGGCCAATTAGCCAACTGTTCATGTACTTCGCGAATGTATAAATGATTATCGCCTTCAATTAACCATTTTATAAAAGCCGAAGATCGATCAATTTCCGTTGTAAAATCAGCATCATTTTGTGATGTAGTACTTGGCTTTTACAAAGGGCATTCTCGTCACTGTGGCCTTGTATGTCTTCCCTCGAACCTCGACTAGCACTCCACCACCAAATTGCGCCAAATCCGGTGGCATGTATCCCATTGCGATCGGGCGGCCCAAGGTCGGACTTGGTCCACCGGAAGTGACACTACCCACACGCTCACCCTCTGGCGTCAATATGGGTGCGCCTTCCCTGGCAGGTGGTCCTTGACCCAGTAAGAGCCCGACGCGTTTCTTCGTGGCACCCGTCTTGATCTGCGAAAGTATTTGCTGCGCACCCGGGAAGTTGGCTTCGGCCCTTCGTCGTTTCGCTATGAGAAAAAGAGAGAAAAAAATTGATACTTTGTAAAAGTGGAATAATCTCATATTTTGCGTGACAAAGTTAGAGAAGCGTGTACGATAAATCTGCATCGCTATTTCAAAGCTGGTAAAATAATTATTGCGTTTCGGGGATTCGTCAGCGATTTTTATGTCAGCTGACCATACCGACTAGCCACGTAAGGGCAGCTTCCACAGGTGTAGTGTCTTCGTTAATATCGTGGCCGTATAAACAAAGTCCAGCTTCTAATCTGTAAAAATTAATGGAATTATATTAATTAAGAGTCTCACTCTATTTTATTTCTTACTTATCTAAATTTTCTTAAACCTTCGTGTGTATTATCTCAATTGCATTTGATTACATTTGTCGAGTATTGTTTCAAAGCATGATATATCTGCTTATCTATATCAATCTACAGAAATATAATGCGTTACTTATGACATCATTATCGTTTTACTTTACTCTTTTTTACCGTGTTATTTTTTCACTAACGGTAACGAATTTAACAGTTATCTTTATTGTTACTTTATATTATTTTATATCTATTAATGACAATTTTTGTATGTTTAATGTTCAGTCCTCGATCGATATTTATATTCAAGTTCATCTTAAGAATAGTTTATCATAAACCAATATCACAAACCACAAGAATAAATTTTAGAAATACCGCCTTTTAAACTTTGTAAACAGAGAATTGAAAGTAGAAAAAAGCAAATTTGGCTATACTTGTGAATTTAACGAAAATCACAATTTTTTTTTATTTGCATTTTGAATATTTGAAAATCTTAAATTTTTTATAATGTTGCAAATTTAAGATAAAAAGTTTTATTGTTATATTCATAATTTAACAAAAAAATATGAAAAAGTTAATTTTATATTTAATCTAATTTTGTTTTAGTATTAAAAAGTAACGGAAAAGGTAACAAATCTTTTTTTTAAGTAACTAATAATGGTAATTAGTTATTTTTCTGATTCGATAACGAATAACAATAATGAGTTACTTTTAAACATCAATTTTTTCAACCCTACCAATTTACCTCAGGCTATCTCTAGCTCCTAGACCTGCCAATTTCACATCAGGAATCTCCAAGATTCTTTCGACCAAGTCAATCGCATCCTTTGCAGGCACCGAGATCTCGAAACCGTCTTCTCCAGTGTAGCCGCATCGTGAAATTCTAACGTAACTACCCGATATCTCGGTTTTGACGCTGTTCATAAACTTCAGAACTTGAAGATCAATCTTCACTAATGATTGAAGAACCGTCGCTGCAGTAGGACCTTGAAGAGCTATCAAACCTTGCTCTAGAGGATCCAGAAAGTCAACGAACACATTTTTATTAATTCTTTTGAAATCATCCTGAAAACAGAAGAGCACTCAGTGTATTTTTATTACCAACATTGTTAGAGCATGCAAATGTTTACCTGACGCTCCAAAAGGAGCCGACTGTCCTCCTCCCGTCTTCCCGCGTTAGACACCACGAAGTACCTATCTTCGTCGTCTTTGGTAATAATGAGATCGTCCAAAATTCCCCCCTTGTCGTTAGTGAAGACTGTTAAAGTCGCGGCACCTTTGCTTAAATTCTTTAGATCACACGTGGTTAGCGATTCCAAGTATTCCCCGGCATCCTTACCGGAAACACGCGTTTGCAGCATGTGACCGACGTCAAAGAGCGATGCCAACGATCTAGTGTGCAGATGAGATACAGCGATCGTCTCTCGATACTGCACCGGCAGTAGCCATCCGGCAAAATTGATGATCTTACCTGTACATAATATTACATGAAATGATAAATGATATATTTTTAATTATATATATGTATATATATATATATATATATCTCTTACTAAAATATTATAATTTTAAATATAACGTAAAAAAAAAACAAAAAGAAACGCATCTCTCGGAACGACTAGCTTGTGTCGTTTATGTATTTGCAGGTAATGTTCTGCAATAATTTGACAAAGATTTGAAATGTAATAATATTTAAATATAATATCATATTGATAATTCGATCACCAGATCAGCAACTTGCCTTGCTTCTCCACGTGAAGGTCGTAAAGACAGGTCTTACGGGCTTCACTGACAGCCGACGTTGACGACAGTCGATGATTTTCCCTCCGAGTTGTTTCGACGGCTGGCCGAAGTATCGTGGAATCGATCAAACAATTCGCAAAACGCAACGTTGAGCCATCATCGAATCCCTCCTTGACCCTCGACACCGCCGATGCTCGGCACTTGACGATGCCGCAGGTGTCACGTATGCCTCCCGAAGCGCTTAGACATTTCTCGAGATTATCGTAGACGACGAATCTGCCGCGAGCGACGAAACGAAGCATGATGCTTCTTTCTTAATGTTTTATCTTTCACTAACTCGCATGACTTCGCGCTTAACGCACGACTAGCGCTTAACAGTAGACCGACTCGTTGGGGCTGTGACCCCACGTGATATTTGCTACCAGACTCGGATGTAGACTTCAAAAGACTTAGATGTACATGTTTCAACAAAAACTTTCAAGGAGCGATCTCTTAGATGTGTAGAATACGTTGTAGATTTTATTGTGAGATTTTTTTTTCTTGAAATTTAATTAAACAAGTTGTCTGTCGGAATTAATATATTATAAAGTATTTTCAAATCGATCATCATTTACGATCTTCATACAAATCTATTTTATGAATAAATTATATTTTGTTTTTATTATGCAGGATTTGGAATGTTGTTTCATTAATAGCAAATTAAGAGTGAAATCAATGAAAATTATCATGCGTGCTTTATCTGAGATAGAAATGTAAAATTCCAGCCCTGCCTGTAAGTATGTTCAACCACTTGATAGCTTTACACATTATAAAAACATTTCTGTTTACTCCATTCGTTATCGGTAAGCAGTTATTTCTATCTCTATACGTAAGAGAGGTCATGGTACTGGAAATCATGTGATAAAGGAAACTATTATCAAATTTACGATTATGGGAAACTAGTCGGTAGTCACGAGACTTGGAATGCTTATTAAATTTTTATTGTACCACGTAATAATAATAATATTAATAATAATAATAATAATCATGATCATCATCGCAATAATAAATTGTGATAATAATGACAATAAATGGTAGTAGTAGTAATAATAATAATAATAATAATAATAATAATAATAATAATAATAATAATAATAATCATTTATCATCGTAATAATAATAGTTCCGTATTATAATAATAATAATAATAATAATAATAATAATAGATACTTCATCATCGTCGGTATAATTCAATGACAAATAGTCAATATTATATAGTAGACGTGTCGAACGGAGAAACGACCTTTAAAAACGAAGATAGTATCAATGTTCGTTTCGTTACTATTTTGTTTTTTTAGCTTCCGCCGTTTTTTATCTTCTCGCTTGCTCTCTTTAGGATCTTTTCTACCTCTCGCTCTCGCATCTTCCACACGCGCATTCTCACTCGACTTCGCTTCCTCTTTTATTTAATCTTTTTTTTTCGCTTTTAATCTCCCCTTTTCTCTCACACACACGCACACTTTCTCCCTCTGTCTCGTGTCTTACACAATTGATGCAAAATGTCCCTACACAATCCGACGAATGTGTGTGTGTGTACGTTTTCCCGGTTATTCTCTTTAAATCAATCCTCACGATCGCATTTTGCTCGACGCTTTCCTCATTTTTTTCCACCATTCCTCCTTGAAATTCGCTAGATTTCTTTTTTTTTCTTTTTAAATCCTTGCACGTGTTGACACATTCACTCACACTGGTATATCGGTTTGGTAGTGGAGGGACCGGGGGGGGGAGGACGGGTTGGCTGTGTGAGGGGGTGCTTGGTAGCGGTGGAGTAGTGAGGATGGGAAAAACGGGATATATCCGCGGAATTTGTACCGCACGTGGGGATGCTGTAACCAAGCAGAGGGTTGCAAGGTAAGGGGGAAGGGAAATTGCAATACTGATTGAGAAAAACGGATACGTTGCGGTGAAAAAAAAGAAGGCGTCACGATATCCCGGGGTCCATCGATCGATGCCAATTTCCCTTCGTCTCTTTCGATCGTTCCTGCGATGTATGTCCGAGCAATCGTTCGTAAAAAAAAAATTTGTTTTCGATCGAAAGACACAGATGCCGCGATACCGTGAGCGTCGAAAAATCTAACAACGATCTACGATCGCGAGGGAAAAACTGAAACTGCGATAGTACGATCTGTGCACCACAGAGAAAGTATATAACTATATATGTTGCCTCGTGTTTCTACGCGATTTTTGTTTCCGCTGTTCCGACTTGAATTTTAATTTAATTAAACCTCATTTTCAATCTGTCTTTTTGTTTGTTTCGATCTGTAACTATTGCTGTCCGCGCTACTTTTTTGCCTCCTGTCGCCTCTCCTCCTCACCGTTCGAGTCCCCCAAGCGCGTCGATCTGCCGGCAAAAAATTTTCCCAAATCTGGGCCCGTCCTCTACTGGAATCGGACCCGAGGCACTCGTTCTGGTTGTCCGAAAGTCGCTTTATCGCGCAACATTCCGGCAGGATCGTCGCGCCGGAGGACGCGTTCGCACGTCTCGTACGCGTTGCGTATGCTGATTCATGTATGTACGTACATACGAACATACATACATACATACATACATACATATATGTATATTTTTATATATAGATATATATTCGGCTATTTGCTTTTTTTTTGGCCTGGTACAAAGGAAACGAGAATCACTCTCTCTCTCTCTCTCTCTCTCTTCTTTTTCTTTTCTTTT